ATCACTGTACAAAACAGATTTTAAAAATCTATATCCCTGTGGCACATACATTCTAGTGGGGAAAGAGAGAAGAAACAAAATCAATAATCTAGTTATATAGCACATTAAAGGGTAATAGCTGCTATAGAAAAATAAAGAGCAAGATAAGGGGGTTTTAGAAGTGCTGGACTGAAAATAAATGATTGCAGTTTTAAAGAGGATGGTCAGGGGAGGCCTCCCTGAGAAGGTAAGACATATACAGAAAGACCTGAAGGAGGTGACAGAATGAGCTGTAGCTCTAGAGTATCTGGAGAAAGAGCATTTTGGCTGCTCAAGCAGCCAGTATTAAGACCCTAGAACAGAACCATGCCAGTGTATTCAGGAAAGCATAAGGAGGCCAGTGTTACTAGAGCAAAGAGACCAAGGAGGAGAGTAATAGGAGATGAGGACAGAGTAGTAACCAGGCCCAATTGTATAAGGGTTTTCAGGTCATTGTAAAGACTTTGGCTTTTGCTCTGAGTGAAGAGAGAAAAGGCTCATGATCTGATACATGTTTTAAAAGAATCACTCTGGCTGGTCTCTTGAGCAGAGATTTTTGGGTGACAGATGGAAGCAGGGAGACCAATTAGGGGGCCTATCCAATAATTCAGATGAAAGATGATAGTAGTTTAGACTGGGGAGGGCAGTAGAGATAGAGAGAAGTGGTTAGATTTTGATATATTTCAAAGGTAGAATGAACTGCACTTGTGGCGTATTCAATGTGGACTATAAAAGGAAGAGTCAAGGATATATTCAAGGTTTTTGGCCTGAGCAACTGGAAAGATGGAATTACCATTAACGAGATTTAAAAAAGACTGAATGAAGTGAGTTTTGGGGGAAATGATTGGGAATTCAAATTTGGACATGTTAAGTTTGAGATGTCTAGTAGATGTCTAAGTGGAAATATTAAAATAGGAAGTTGGATATATGAATCTGGAGTTCATGGGAGAGGTTCAGGCTGATAGATCAAGTAAGATAAAGACTAAGAACTGACCTAAATTTAGCAATGTGGGGATCTTTGGTGAGTTTGACAGCAGCATTTTTGGTGGAACGGTGGGGACAAAAACCTGGCTAGAGTGAATTTTAAGAGAATGAGAGGAGAGGAACTGGCAAGAGAGTGTCAAACAATTTTCTCAAAGAGTTTTGTTGCAAAGGAGGAATAGAGAAATGGTGCAGTAACTGCCAGGAGAGGATATTTTACAAGGGGGGAAATAACTCCATGTTTGGATACTGATGGAAATAATCCAGAGAAAGAAGAGAGCTGATATAGGAAAGAGAAAGGAAAATGCTAGAGCATGTCCTAGAATAGATCAAAGGGGCTGGGTCTAGGCGGCATAAGAGAAGGTACTGGCTGTAGATAGGAGTACAGATAGTTCATCTATGGTAATAGGCAGGAAGGCAGCGTATGCAGGTTCAGATGCTATTAGGAACATAAGTGTGGTGGTAGGAGTTTATGGAAGTTCCTAACTGCCGCATTTTTTTTTTTTTTTTTTTTTTGAGAAAGGGTCTCATTTTTGTCACCCAGGCTGGAGTGCAGTAGCTAGATCACGGCTCACTGCAGCCTTGACTTCCTGGGCTCAGATGATCCTCCCACCTTAGCCTCCGGAGTAGCTGAGACCACAGGTGTGCGCCACCACACCCAGGTAATTTTTTGTATTTTTAGCAGAGGAGGGTATCGCCATGTTGCCCAGGCTAGTCTCAAGCTCCTGGGCTTAAGCAATCCACCTGCTTCCGCCTCCCAAAGTGCTAGGATTACAGGCATGAGCCACCGTGCCCAGCCTGATTGCTGCAATTTTGACAGTAAAGAAAGAAGCAGGGTCATCATCTGAAAGTGAGGAGGAGGGGAATAGTGTCAGAATTTTGAAGAGAGAGTAGAAAGTGCAAAATAATGACCTAGGCTAGTGGGAGGCTAAATGGGCAAAGGAAATGTAAGTATAACTGCCAGATGTCATTAAGAGTCCACTTGAGGCTCATAGTCATGAATTCAAAGCAAAGCCAGTGAGGATGCTTGTGTACTGTCTCTAGCCACATTCAGGTGCACAGGTGCAGTCATGGGCCAGGCAGAGAGCTGGATTTAGCAAATATAAGGAAGTAAGAGAGGGATGAGGAAGTTGAGGGTGTATGCAAGGGAGTAGTTACAATGATAGGCCATGGAATTTAAGCTGAACAAGAAAGAAAGATAAACGTAGGGAAGTGGGACAGTGACATGGTGATAGGATCAGTGTGGGCCAGTGGGACTAAAGAGTACCTTCTAGAAAGAATGAGCTGTGAAAGATAGGAGGGCTTGGTCAGAGAGTGGCTAGAGTTGCAGTAACTGGTAAAGATAGGTTTGGAGGAGTGCTACTCAATGAGTAGGCCGTGAACTGGTGCCAGTCTGTGAACTGTATGTTACTGATCTGCAAGGAGATAAGTTCAGAAATTGAAAATAAATGTTTAGAAACACTGCTGCGACATCCAAGCATATGATCAGTGGACTTGTATTGGGAATGCCTTTGTGTTTTTAATCTCATTTGTCTATTCCTTTGTGACTATAATTTACAAAAGCATTGGTCTGCAACAGATTAGATACAAACAAAGTCTGGTCCTTCCCCATAGTGGAAGCACATGCTCTCACGAGCATGCATGGGAGTGTATCTCCAAAGGTGGAGGACAAGGTCATGGAGGAGAGGAGTGAACAGTGAACTCCCTATCATCTCTAGTCTTCCAAGATAGCAGGCTGCCTGACTGCACAGCTCCAGGAAGCACCATTCTCATTATATGTTACATGAACAATACAACTCCAGGTACTGTATGAATGGTGCTCTTAGAATGTTCAAGGAGAGAGCTAGTGTTATCCCCATTTTACAGATCAGAAAACAAGCTCAGAAAGGTTACATAATTGCCCAAACTCATACAGCTACTAAGGGGAGGAGCCAAGATTTGAACCTAGGTCTGTCTGTTGTGCTAAAGCTGAACTCTGTCCACAATACCACTCTCTCTCTGTCACATGCTTATAGCACAGCCATAAGCCTCATGAGAACTGGGGAAAAATGCCTTTTGGGAATGTGTTATGGTCCATGTGACCAAGCCGGGCATTTCAATTTATTTTAGAGTCATGACTTGTTACAGCTGCTGTGGGAATCCATACCCAGTGGCTGCTTAGATCCCTATCTCTCCAGTTTGTCTTTGTTGAACCAAGGGGCTGAAGCACCTCAGAAATACAACATCCACCATCACCGCAGGATTTCCTGCAGTCTGCTCTTGTGCTTTAGTAATTGCATATGTATTAAAAGCAAATTCTAAAGAGACATTTGTGGAATGGTAAGATTATGAATATTTTAATACTTTAATCTTTTTTTTCAAGATTCATGTGATGGATGGATACATTACTTTTCTGATCTGAGAACGTCTAGTATAGATGTATACTTTAAACCATCTTGCTCATGGTTCAAGTCTTAGACTCTAAGACTCAGGACTCTGATAAGGGCTGAGCAGGCCCCATCTCTCACTGAGCCTGAGTCCCAGGTACACTGGGAGCCTCAGCATTTCCAGAGAAGTTGGTGTTGGTTGCTTCTGGCTCTCCCCAGGTGCATGGAGTTTCTGAGAAATGCGTAAACAAAGTAAGCATTGATCTCTTAGGGATTTCCTAATTTCCTTCATTTCTTGCCTATCCAGTAGGCCTCAGCAAGTACAGCAACACTAAAGTTAATTTGTAAAGCTTATCTGGGTATTACTGGACCTGTGAACACTGAGGTAACCCACAGCTTCTGGAAAGCCCTCCCATGCTCCAAGTCTGTATACTCAACCAATGCATAGGATACAGCATAGGAATTGGGGGTTTATGTGTCCATATGGCCCATCAGGCTGCCCCTGTGAAGGCATGGTCTATGGCACAGTACAGGACCTGACACACAGTGAGGAGTGGCTCAGTAAGAACGAGTTGGACAAGTCAATGAACAACTGCTGCCCAGCCTGTGGAGGTATTTTTGTGGTGATGTCTTTAATCTTTTCTACCTTGAGAAATTAACTGGCATTAATGTATATTAATGTATTGTATATGAAAAGATCTTTTGAGCTAACTAGTATAAGACTTATTATTATATTCAGACACATGACTTTTCACCTAGGGAAGATGTAGAAGAAATGAATCCACCAAAACAAGCAAATATAACTGGGCAGGGTAGGACATGTTCACTCCGGTTAGGTCTAAAGAATCAAAATAGAAAATAGGAACAGAATTTTACTTTGAAAAATAGTACTGTAAATCACAGTTTTGGTGCTGTGATAAGATGAATCATTAAAAAACTTGAATATGGTAAAATGCTAATCATCACAGTTATTAATTGAGAGTAACTAAAAACCTCTGGTTGGCCTCATAAGCATTAAATACTAAAGTTTTCAAATGCATGTTACTAATTATTGTTATTAATGTGAAGTTTTAATCCTGATCCCCTTTGGAAGACTAAGTGTCAGTGTGGGTGAATTTTTCACTATGCCTAAAAACCAATAACTACCAAATGAAATTTGACTCTTCTTTTCTTCCATCTTGCCAAATTGCTCATTTCATCAATACGAAAAGCAACTGAGATGCCAGGCAGTATAGATATAAACTGTCTCACATCATTTATTTTTATAAATTTGTATTCCAGTCAAATGTGGAATACTTTGGTTTCAATATGTACCTCATTGATGTTAAGGGTCTAGAATCATTATAATGACTATGGTAAAGATAACATATTTTTCTCTAGTTTGTCTACAAAAACCTATAAAAACTAGCAAAAAGGTTAACTATTGTATTTAAGTAGAGAATTCTTCTTCTAGACTTGAATACTAAATAAAACACAGAAGACGGTTACATCCTATTTTTTATCATACCTTTTGAAATAATCTGTATATACCTTTTAAATAATTTCAAGTGCCACAAAAAATAATGTTAATAGCTCAAAATCAAAAGTTAAAAAAAAAACCCTATGTATAATTTTTAAAATCTTTTTCTCCTCAAGCGTTTTACGATGGGATAATGAGACAGATGTCTCTCAACTGGAAGGACATTTTGACATTGTTATGTGTGCTGACTGGTAAGTACATAAAAATCATAAAACTCCTGTTAGAAAAAAATAGCTTTGCTGGAGTAATTGGGCTGTGCTGCTTTGCTGACGGCTAAGCAAAGTCAACAAATGAAGCACAAAGCCACCTTAACCTCAACAAATTAATATTCATCTCCATGTGACAGTTATAAGGTAGTCTTCTATCACACAGTAACTTCTACCACATTATTTCCCAAAGATTGATTTTGAGAAGCATTTCCATTTTCTGGAATTGCCTCTGTTTCATGCTTGACGTATCAGTAAATGGACAACTTAGGCAAATTGCAAATAATTATGGCTCGGAGAGGAATAGTCTGGAGAAAAAGGAGTTTATCAACACAAACAGCTCAATTAGCTTACTTCTTAGGAGAGATCTGACTATTGATATAAGGGAATATATATGTGTGTGTACACACACATACTCTCTAGCAAATAAACATATCTGTGAAATATCTTTGGGGAAATGCTCTTCTTAAAATATATGTTTGCTATCTAATGTTTTCAGTGTATTCAATTATAATATTTAATTATACATAAAAAAATTATAAAATTTCATTTTATTCTTATGCAGATAATAACATGACAATCTCTGTCAGGTGCCTGCATTTTAAAAATAATTTACATTAGGTATTTTGCCCTCTATTTTAGCCCAGTCTACTTATTTGTTAATGAAAGTCTGATCATAAGTTAAAGGATAAATAGGCATCAGACCTTAATAATTATTTCAACTAATCTTATGTATTTCTTCATGCAATTTGAATAATAATTATTTCAGCTTATGGGAAACATTGACAATTCACAAGTATTTTCCCTGTTAAGGGTAAGATCTTGTTTGTAGTTTTATCATGATGTTTATCAGGACACTTTAGATTTTAAAACACATGAAGTTCAGATTCTGAAGAACTTCTGTTACATTGACAGGGCCAATCATGAGATCCAGAACTCAGAGAAGACTTTCCCTAGAGGAGAGTTGAATGAAATTTTCAGGAAGTGGGTTTCGTTATTATTATTATTATTTTAAGATTTTCAATGGATAACTTTTCTACAAAAGTCATTGGAATTAGGTTTGCTTTTTTTCTTCGGAAAAAAAAAATACTTCTCCATGAAAAATAAATATTTTGTTCTATTGTTAGCTGAGAGTTTCTAGTTTTTCAGAGCCCTTTTAGTCTTTTTGCACCCAGTTTCAGAAAATCTTGTTCCAAAAATGGGAGAAACCTAGATTTCTGACTAATCATTGATAATGTGCCTCAATGCTGCAGCCATCATCTTATCAAAAATAAGGAGCTAAAACCTCACGGTATGATTCGAGCAAGTAATTTAGTAAATGCCTTTCCTCACCAAATATGAGAAAGAATCCTCCAGGTTTCATTGCACAGATGAAGATAATGCTGGCAGGATTAGATCAGATTAAGCATGAAAGTCAGATCAGAGAGCAGCGGCAAGAGGGAAGGGGCAGCGTCTTCCTGAAGCTTTAGAAGAGGGTCACACGCGGATAGGCTCTGATTATATGGGGAAGGCAGGTCTGGCCAAGAGATTTAGAGTTAAATTTGTCCCTTACACAAATATCAAAACAGCCTGGCTTTGTCATACCTTGTGTTATGGACACTCTCACCATGTCATCACCATGTCATCCTATTTGTACCAGAGGGAAAAGCAGAGGAAGTAAGATTTAAGCTCTTTTCTGATTAATGTTCTCAGGTTAAAAATAGCCACACAACATGTTTGAAAAACAGTCTTTTTTCCCTAGCCGACAACAGGGTCATGTCCACTGATATACATAATGCATATTCAGTTTAAGACTTACATTACACACACATAACATAATACAATATTATATGTATACACACACACATAGATACATATCTGGTAGCTGTGTGAGAATTTATGGCTTCAAATGAACTAAATACACCAGGCTTCATTTTATAAATGGCTTTTCCATGCATGAATTGTTTTTTTTTTTTTCCTCTGGGTGTTGTAAATGCCAGAATGTCAGCCTGTTTATAATTTCCCATTTGTAAATGTGAAACATTAAGCTACTCTCACTGCGATGCTGATAGTATTTCCAAAAGAAATGCTTTGGTAATGGTCTCTCTTCATATTCGTGGGGATGGGTAAGTTGCTTAGAAACTTAGAAAGTACAGTAATATTTCTAATATGCACGTTGTGCATGTAGCAGTGAAGCACAGGATTCCACGAGTTCTTTACGTCCTGTTGGTGTGGTGTTTCTCTGTAAGAGTTATTGCATGGATGCTGCTTCTAGGGGCAGGCAGGCAGGCAGGCAGGCAGGCAAACCGTGCTACATTTTTTTAAGAATGTCACAGGAGAGAAAAGAAAGCTCTCTTTAGACACCACCTCCAAGACGAAACCTGAAATCCTCAGTGTCAGAAAGAGGTGCCACACATAAATAGATCACATTAAGTCTCACACCATCCTTTGGTCATTGTCAGCAATGAGATCTGGATTAGGCCACAGGAATATGAAGCAAGAGTCGGAGTTCAAATATTAGGTACATGGATTAAAATCTTATTGAAGCATTTCCAGCAAGGGTGCCATTGTCTGATTCCCTGAATAGCTAACCAGTGGTACCGCTTGATCCCATTTACATGAAAACAAGCTCTATTCACAAACCTATTCCAAACCCACGTTGTGGTTCAAGTAAAATGCACATGATTACAACAAACGGTGATATGTTTATGTTCTTAAATCATTCATATATTCAGATATTTACATTCAAACATTCAAAAACCTGTAGGCAGTGGGGGAAATAACTTATTTCCCAGAAGAGACAGTCTGTTAGTTCACAACTAAATTTAGTAGCTCAACTAGATTATAAAATAAAGAGGCAAACTGTGAAAGCTAGTCATTATTTCACCATTCAGCATTTTTGACAATGAAAAATAGTTTCATGGTTCAACAGTTCCTAAATAACTTGTAAAATGTCAACTTTGAAATAAACAGAAGGAAAAATTGAGGTGCAGCCATACCTGCAAAAGGATGCTGTTGACAAACATCAAAATATTAGAATATTTAACCACAGGTGTAGAAAAAAACCTGCCTATTAAGTTCCTCAGTTGACTTGTTTAATGTTGAGTTTAATATAAGGATTCCTTTCTGCTGGAATGCAGTCCAGCCTGGTCCTTGCTGAGTTAGAATAGTGAGTGATTGTTAATTTTAAGCCTGCCTTTCCAGACTCCTGTTCAATCACAATATAATCTAAGGGTCTGGAAGTAAGATGTTTTTTATCCAATGAACGCTTTCATTCAGTGGTTGACGGCCCTCCAGTTTATTGTAGCTCTGCAAAAATAGAAATAACTCTGTGCATTTGAATTCTCAAAAGGCTTAGAAAGCATATCTGAAATGCCACCCATACCCTGACCGGCCCATTGAGCTGGGTATGCAGGGCGATCAGCACATCTGTGTGCCTGCAGCCCGAGACTTTGGAAAGAAATGGCGGAAAGTACACTGGCCTGCAGCAACCCACCCCGCTTGCTCTCTCAGCAGTTTCGCGCTTGCTATACACTCTAAATTGTTTCTCTCTTTTCAGTCCTTTTTACTTTACTCTAAATGATGAAAAATGTTTGATTTTTAAGCCGATTTTGTGAAATTTTTTTTCCCTCAAAATGGAAATACTGTAGGCTCTAGAATTTGTTTTCTTTCAGATGCTGTGATCATGGATAGCTCCAAATCACAACTCACAGATGTTTACATCTGAAAATATATTTAGCCCAAATATAGTCAGCCCTTTCACCTGACACCCGAAAAGACTCAGTCCCAGAGAAAATACATGAATCGCCCACGATTGCTCAACTAAAGGGGTAGAGCCAAGTAAAATTAGAATATGGCATCATTCTGAGCTCTCATAAAAATCAGTTGGTAAATACTGAAGGGTCATTCCTTTGCTGAAGTTAAACCTAAAACAGTGACTTTAACTCAGCACATTTCACCTTGAAAATTACATAGGGGTCTTCCCTTCTGTGGCTATTGACAGAGAAAAATGTCTCCTTGTTCTCTGCACTAATTAACTTCCCTATGAGAGGAATTACAGATGCTCTGCAGTCTGCATACAACTCTGATTCTAAGGAAGGTGACGAAAATGGTCTGGCACCTTTCCTTTGTTGGAAAATCTGTGATTCTGATCAATGGAAGAAAGCAAGTGTTGATCCACAAGTGAATTATATAGAGGTGTGTGTGTGCGTGTCTGTGTGTGCATGTCTGTGTGTGTCTGTGTGTGCGTGTGTGCACACATGTGTGCATGTGTGTGCGTGTCTGTGTGCGTGTGTCTGCATGTGCACGTGTGTGTGCACACACATGTGTGTCTGTGTGTGCATGTGTGTGTCTGTGTGTGTGTATGTGTCTGTGTGTGTGTCTGTGTGTGCATGTGTGTGTCTGTGTGTGTGTGTGCACGCCCTTTCATGGTCAAACTAGACTGCCAATGTATTTTGATCAGTAACTAAAGGGAGAGTTAAAATGGTATCTCCGTCCCCATCACTGACCCACTCAGCCTTTTTTAATAGATCCACTTAAGCTACTGCTGTTCTCTCAGCCCATTAGGACTTATTTGAGGGGTGAATTTTCAGGAGATTATATATCATTCACACTAAAACACATTGAAATTGCTCAGATGACATACTCTACAAAGTGTTATAAATTCTGCATCAGAGCTAAGTAGCAAGTGAGCTTACTTGGAATAAAGATCTATTAGGGAACTACAAAGAATTAATTTTGAGACATTTGATCTGGAGACTTGGAGTAGACAGCATTACCTTTCAAATAACTGTGTTTGGAATGTGTGCCGTGTGTTAAGCTGTGGTGTTAACATCTTTGTCACCCTGACCAACTTTAAGGAGAAATAGCACTTTATAAGGTTATGTTTGAAGCTAAATTCTTAAGGTGCTGTTTATTTATTTTTTTCTAACAATCTTACCAGTTTTAGGATGCACAGATACAAACCGAGTGTGGTCCTTTGCTTAAATGCTGCATGTCCCAACCAG